TCTTACATCAAGCACCCTGTAATGTTTGTGGACTGGTATACTCACCCACTTAGCAGAGCGTCCTCCAGGTTATTGGTCACTTTGCGGTATCCGCCCATGGAGTGATAAATCAAGGAATGGCAGGGGAGTTTCTGCGGTTTAACACACTGCCATATCTCACCAGTGTAAGGGTCTTTGTACTCGCAAATTTTCGGGCCTGCCACCTTCAAGTTACATTCCACCACTTCGCTGCTCCCATCAAAGTGAAAATAGCCACTGAAATATACCTATGAAAAAGAAGTGTAGACTGATTACAAACAAAAAAAAAAAGAAAAGGATGAGTTATCTTGTCACTAAGTCCTGTGGGACTACAATTCCCAACCTCCCCCCCCCCTCGCCTGCAGCCCAGCGCATGCTCAGTGCGGTGTGTGGGAGTCCAGTTCCTAGCGCTGCTGTGATCCGGAGCTCGTGCTGCTGGAAGAGCCCAGTTAGAGAGGAGCTGAGAAGTGCAGCATCCCATTGATGAACCAGAGGGAAGTCCTTACCAGGATAGAGGAGTCCATAGGAGGACCCAGCATAACCACTGAGATGTAATATTTTCTCAAATGCATGATGGAATTATGCATCTGGTGAGTGTGTAATTCGCATATTTGATCACCAGAAGATGCACAGTGGATCACTCAAATAAGAGCTTCACATTATATATAGACTATGTCAATTTATCACTAATAGTCACCATCTTGGATGTGCGTTTGCACTTTTGTCACTTTATTTTTTTCTGATATTGGAAATATTGTAACTTCCTGTTATACATCTTTATTGAGAGTTTTGGTTGCTATCACTAGCAATTATATTGATATTTAATTATATATTATTTTGATGTGGTTTTTAGAGCTGCACCTTTATTTATCATACTTGGTCTTTGGAGGTTGTTGGTACCTTTCGGTGTACAGCGGCTCGATTTTAAACGCTCATTTTTATACTTGTATACTATTTATATTGTCACTACCTCCATCATCCTCCACCCAGGTTCTCCAGTCATCAGGAATGAGGGCGGGTCCTACATATACCAATCAGTGATAATATTTTGACCACTGACAGGTAAAATGAATAACATTGATTTTCTCATTACAGTGGCATCTCAAAGTGGGTGAGATATATTAGGCAGCAAGTGAAAATCATGTCCCTGAAGTTGATGTGTTGAAAGCAGGAAAAATGGGCAAGTGTAAGGATTTGTGCGACTTTGGCAAGGGCCAAATTGTAATGACTAGGGGACTGAGTCAGAGCAACTCCAGAACTCCAGCTCTTGTTGGGTGTTCCCAACCACGAGTCGCCCAAGGAAGTAAAAATGGTGAACTGGTGATTGGGTGATGGACGGCCAAGGCTCAGTGATGAACATGGGGAGCGAAGATTGGCTTGTGTAGTTCGCAGACCAGGCATGGTGCCGATGTTGACCCATGTCCACAGCCTAGGGCACCTAAATTAGGCACAAGAGCATCAGAACTGGACCACAGAGCAATGGAAGAAGGTGGCCTGGTCTGATGAATCCCGTTTTCTTTTACACCATGTGGATGGCTGCGTGTGTGCGCATCCCTTACCTGGGAAAGAGATGGCACCAGGATGCAGTATGGGAAGAAGGCAAGCCAGTGGAGGTGGTGTGACTCCTCTCCTACTGGAGTCCATGCCTCGATGGATCAGGGCTGATGTGGTGGCAAAAGGAGGACCTACTCAATAGGTCATAATGTTACGGCTGTTAATATTTGAATGAGAGCGGGTCCTACATATACCGATCAGCCATGATATTTTGACCACTGACAGGTAAAGTGAATAACATTGATTTTCTCATTACAATGGCATCTGAACGTGGATGAGATATATTAGGCAGCAAGTGAAAATCATGTCCCTGAAGTTGATGTGTTGAAAGCCGGAAAAATGGGCAAGTGTAAGGATTTGTGCGACTTTGGCAAGGGCCAAATTTTAATGACCAGAGGACTGAGTCAGAGCAACTCCAGAACTCCAGCTCTTGTTGGGTGTTCCCAGTCTGCAATGGTTAGGGCGGACCATGAGTTGCCCAAGGAAGGAAAAATGGTGACTGGGTGATGGATGGCCAAGGCTCAATGATAAACTTGGGGAGCAAAGACTGGCCTGTGTAGTTCGCAGACCAGGCAGGGTGCCGATGTTGACCCATATCCACAGCCTAGGGCACCTAAAATAGGCACAAGAGCATCAGAACTGGACCACAGAGCAATGGAAGAAGGTGGCCTGGTCTGATGAATCCTATTTTCTTTTACACCATGTGGATGGCTGGGTGTGTGTGCATCCCTTACCTGGGGAAGAGATGGTACCAGGATGCAGTATAGGAAGAAGGCAAGCCAGTGGAGGTAGTGTGATTCCTCTCCTACTGGAGTCCATGCCTCGATGGATCAGGGCTGATGTGGTGGCAAAAGGAAGACCTACTCAATAGGTCATAATGTGATGGCTGTTAATATTTTTTGTAGATCAGGGCAGATTACATGCTAAAGTCCATGTCAGAGAAACAGATAGAAATAGCTATTAGCCAGTGACAATTTTCCACCATCCTGCCTGGTTAAAAAAATATTCCCAGAGGACAGTTACCAAGAGTAAGAAGAAATCGTACTAAAGAACGTGATTTTCAGGAACAAGCAACAGTTATTCAGAATGGATTTGTAGAGAAAGGATATAAGGAGGAAGGATTAGATAAAAAGACTGAAAGAATAAATGGAAGCTATAAATTCCTACACCAATCACCTGATTTGGATGTAAATACCCTCAAATTAAAGCTGACAGTCTGCAGTTAAAGCACATCTTGTTCATTTCATTTCAAATCCATTGTGGTGGTGTATAGAGCCAAAAATGTTAGAATTGTGTCGATGTCCCAATATTTATGGACCTGACTGTATGAGCAACCGAAAGTCAATCTAGTACGTAGTCTGTAAACAAGTACCTGGTAAAGTCATTTAAAGCAAAAAAGAATCATGCATATTATTCTACAAATATTGATGCACAAATGGAAGGTGTCCTCCCTCCCTCCCTGTAGTCTTTTGGGACACGTGACAGGTCCCAGAAGACTACAGGACCATTCATGAAGCGGAGCGCTACTCACGCATGCGCAGTGGGTACCCGGCTGTGAAGCTGCAAGCTATCACAGCCGGGTGCCCACACCGAATTGCCGGCCCTCCTGGAATCCAGGACGGCCGGTGAAACGGGCTGCGGGGGACGCACCGCGGGACCGAGGGACAGGTAAGTGGCTGTTTTTTAAAAGTCAGCAGCTACAGTTTTTGTAGCTGCTGACTTTTATTTTTTGACAGGTGAGAGGAGCTCCGCTTTAATATCGGACGTTTTACATGGTGTGACACTATGCATGTATATAAATAATAAAATTGTGAGCTGGTGCCTAGTAATGTCGTGCCTCTACCCCCTATTGTGCATAGGCAAAGAACAAAAACATATTTTATGGGGCTTTAAATGAGGTACAACATTTGCATAAAAATATTTTTTGTACAATAGATTAAAATCTTTTTTTTACATAAATGAAGTAGTTTTTAAATAGGCAAGCTGATTGGTAAATACTACCACATATCGGTATACAAGCTGTGTGATATTCACTTAATGATACATGTATAAATTCCATTTTTCAAAGTATTTGACAAAACATAATAATGGGTACATCTTTTGGCTCGCCGCGTTTCATGAACCGTAATCTCACTTCTTCAGGAGAAGATGCCCAATGTAAAGTCTGTAAGCCTAGAAAACATTATCATAGAGTGTGTTCACAAACTCCTGTAAAAACAAGGGGAAGGTAGAGATGGTGTAGTATTAATACATATAAATGTCCACTGATAGAACAAGGTGTTATTAGACTGCTTATATAGCTGATTTGTAAGTATTGTTCTATAAATGGACATTTATATGTAAAAAAAACTACATCATCTTTACCCTCCCCCTCTTTTTAGGGGATTTTGTGGACACATTCTATGATACTGTTTTCTAGGCTTACAGACTTCATATTGGGCATTTGCTCCTGAAGACGTGAGATTATTGTCACGAAACACATCGAGCCAAAATATGTATCCATTATTATCCATTATCCATTATTATGTTTTGTCAAATACTTGGAAAAATGGAATTTATACATGTATTATGTGAATATCAGACAAATTGTATACTGATATACACTATATTGCCAAAAGTATTAGGACACCTGCCTTTAAACGCCTATGAACTTTAATGGCATCCCAATCTTAGTCCGTAGGGTTCAATATGGAGTTGGCTATAACAGCTTCAACTCTTCTGGGAAGGCCGTCCACAAGGTTTAGGAGGGTGTCTATGGGAAGGTTACAGAAGCACATTTGTCAGGTCAGGCACTGATGTCGGGGGGAGGAGGCCTGGCTCGCAGTCTCCACTCTAATTCATCCCAAAGGTATTCTATGGAGTTGAGGTCAGGACTCTGTGCAGGCCAGTCAAGTTCCTCTACCCCAAACTCGCTCATCCATGTCTTTATGGACCTTGCTTTGTGCACTGTTGTGCAGTCATGTTGGAACAAGGAAGGGACCATCCCCAAACTCTTCCCACAAAGTTGGGAGCATGAAATTATCCAAATTGTCTTGGTATGCTTGCACCTTAAGAGTTCCCTTCACTGGAACTAGGGGGCCAAGCCCAACCCCTGAAAAAACCCACATCATAATTCCCCCTCCACCAAACTTTACGCTTGGCACAATACAATCAGACAAGTACCGTTCCCTTGGCAGCCATCAAACCCAGAAACGTCCATCAGATTGCCAGACAGAGAAGCGTGATTGGTCACTCCAGAGAACACTTCTCAACTGCTCTAGAGTCCAGTGGTGACGTGCTTTACACCACTGCATCTGATGCTTTGCATTGCACTTGGTGATGTAAGGCTTGGATGCAGCTGCTCGGCCATGGAAACCCATTCCATGAAGCTCTCTACGCACTTTTGTTGTGCTAATCTGAAGGCCACATGAAGTTTGGAGATCTTTAGCTATTGACTCTGCAGACAGTTGGCGACTTCTGCGCACTTTGCGGTTCAACATGCGCTGACCCCGCTCTGTCATGTGACATGGCCTACCACTTGGTGTCTGAGTTGCTGTTGTTCCCAGTTGCTTCCACTTTGTTATAATCCCACTAACAGTTGAGCGTGGAATATTTAGTGGCCAGGAAATGTCACGGATGGACTTATTGCACAGGTGACCACCTATCACGGGACCACGCTTGGAGTCACTGAGCTCCTGAGAGCGACCCATTCTTTCACCAATGTTTGTAGAAGCAGTCTGCATGCCTAAGGGCTTGATTGTATACACCTGTGGCAATGGAGGTGATTGGAACACCTGAATCACATGATTTGGAGGGCTGGCGCAATACTTTTGACAATATAGTGTATGGTGTTTACAAATCAGCTTGCCGTTTTTTACAAATTGCTTTATTTATGTAAAAAAGATTTTCATTTATGGGGCAATAAATCTTTTTAAGTAAATGTTGTACCTCATTTAAAGTCCCATCAAATATGTTCTTGTTCTTTGTCTATAACACTAGGTACGTAGTTGATATGCTGCAGAGCCCATGTGGCCTACAATACACAAATTTTCCTAATCATTATTTAAAAATGAGAATATCAAAACATATCTATGGTTTAAACATGACAGCATTTCCTTACATTGTAAAAAAAAAAAAAAATCATAATAAGAATTATTCCCTTCTACAGATTTAGGTGGTTGATAAAAATCATAGTCCACTGGAGAGGACATAAAGGAAAATTATCTATGAAGAAGACCCTGTGGCTCCGATAAAGCCGAACTGCATCATGTGGCATGTTGGGTATTGGACAGTTTGTTTCAGAAACTATACCTAAAGTGCAAGTAACCCTTTCACTGCCAGAGCTGTTTCTGCCTCTTTTGCACGTTAAACTGAAGATTAGTTTAATGTTATACATTTTTCTGAAAGCAGAGAATACGATGGTGGTAGTTCCAATTTTTAGGTCACTCAATATTAGCACGATAGTTTATCAATCGCAAATTTTCAGCAAATATACGCAATATATTATCCTTTTTTTGGAAAATATAAAAAGTGGGGTTGTGCTGGGTAAATAGTTAACAAACACATTGAGCCTCAAAATGGCAGTGAAATGGCAACAGACTTCCGTACCCAAAAATTTTCATATAGAAAGCAATGCTTCAAAAGCCTCAACAGATCATCAGTTTAGAGTTAACCATGAATAATGGCTCTAGAATTATTGGTTTGCATGTCATCAATATACAATACGTATAGCGCAATCAATATGTTTGTTCATAGGTGTCACACGTATGTGTGTTTATGTATGTGCATGTACGACGGGGGGGGGGGATTACTTAACTTGTTTCTATCACCCTGGAGACCAATAGCCTTCTGTGTGATAGCATGTTTACTTTGACAGGCTCTCTTTAATGAGACATCAGGGGTCTTTTAGAACCATGATGTCTCATCTGCTCTCCACAGATCACATTCCATCACCTTCTTCCCTGTGGAGCACAGATCACATTCCATCACCTATCCTGTGGAGCACAGATCACATTCCATCACCTTCTTCCCTGTGGAGCACAGATCACATTCCATCACCTTCTTCCCTGTGGAGCACAGATCACATTCCATCACCTTCTTCCCTGTGGAGCACAGATCACATTCCAACACCTTCTTCCCTGTGGAGCACAGATCACATTCCATCACCTTCTTCCCTGTGGAGCACAGATCACATTCCATCACCTTCTTCCCTGTGGAGCACAGATCACATTCCATCACCTTCTTCCCTGTGGAGCACAGATCACATTCCATCACCTTCTTCACTGTGGAGCACAGATCACAATCCATCACCTTCTTCCCCGGCCACAGTCTTCGTGGATAGTGACAGCCAAACTCGAAGTGACAAAATCTTCATTGCTTCTGGATTCTCACTAGCTAGAGGGTAACCAAAATTCTGAGCGGCCACCAGGACAGGAATAGTAGGGAAATCTTCCAGTGGGGATGCCCTAGGCTGGATAAATGTAGTTTTTGGCTTTGCTGTACTCAGTGGAGCAGAAGTTTATTTTTCAGGTCTGGTCAGGTCTTTCCCTAAACCTGGTGATTGATTGCTCCTGCCTGCCTTCTCTAGAAACAGTTTAGGCAGTAGGAGGGTTAGCCACTGGGTTATGAATATTTATCTGATCTCAGCCAATCCCTGGAAGATAGACCCAGAAGGTGTGACTGGGGAGACAATAAATATTTGGGAGGGTTGTCCAGATCTTTCTCTCCTGGGACCTCTGCCCTGGGAGGCAACCTGGGCCAGATTTCCCAATAGGCGCTGTAGGCATGTGCTTACAGACGCCCTTCCTAGAGGGACGCCCGTCTGTATGAGGTTTTTTTTTTATGACAGAAACCCAGCTGTCCCAAGGAGTCTCGGAAATGAAGGTCTGCAACAGACAGCTGAGGCAGTGAGTCCCTGTCAGTGATCTAAGTGGTGGAGTCTCTGCGTACAGAAAAGGGGGGAGGAGAGGGCGGATCACACTGAACATGTCACTGTGTACAGAGATGTGAGGGGAGGGGGGCTGTGGTCACCAGTCCACAGTGTCCCCCTTAGGTCAGATTCCTCTTTACATCAGGGTTCGCATAGGTCCCTCTTACACTGTAATGGGGAACCAGGGGCGGACTGACCATTCGAGCACTCGGCACTGCCTGAGGGCCCAGGGTCAGTAGGGGGCCCCATGACATGCCTCTGGTACCTTATTATAAAGTTTTTTGGGTGTGATTTGAGTGTGGTCAAGGACACAGGGGCCCCATGATCCCCTATTGCTCGGGAGCCTCATGAGTTGTCAGTCCTCCCCTGTGGGGAATGCTGCAGATTTTGATGTAAAGGAGAACTCTGAGGACTCTGATGTAAGGGGAACTTTTGCCCCCTTGCACTGTAAGGGGCAACCCTGCAGATTCTGATGTAAAAGGAACTCTGGGGACTCTTGTGTAAGGAAGGGGGGGGGGTCTGGTGACCAGAGACCCCCTTACATCAGATTTCTCCTTTTTATCACTGTCTGCAGTGTTCCCCTTTACATCAAAGTCAGGAGCATTCCCCTTTAAACATATAAAATATTTATATAAAAATATTTTATTAAGAAAAAAAGGTCAGTCTCTTATTTTCGGGGATGGGGGCACTTCAGCATTCTCTGCCTTTAGGCTCCTGAGATGTAAATCCAGCCCTGGAGGCAACCTGTGATACTGGTGTAGCCAGGTGCCGGCTAAATCATCATGCCATTCCAGGACATTTACAGATGAGACTATAGTTGATCCTTTTTCCCCTAGTGCGTAGTCCTGGAACTGCTACATCACTTTCTGTTAGCAGAGTGGATCCAGTTCTTCTGGCAGCAGAAGATCTTGGGACCTGTATTCTTATAGCCAATACATTCTATATTTCTGAGTGCTGATTGAACTACAACTACCAGAGAGTTGGTGAATGAGAGGGATATTGGGAGAATAGATATTTTATACAGCAAGGGACTGGCTCTCTCTCGGTGCCGGATTCAAAGCTGAACACAGGGGGACTGTAGTTCTCCAGAGATAGATTGATGGCCTACTACTGTGGGACCAGCTTCTCTGCATTGGGACTTTTACTATCTGGTCTTCACACAGATATCTCTGCAGACTGCGCTGACGGGCCATCAGGCGGTCACTTGGCACATCCCTGCAAACAGCCAAGAGCCCATGCAAGAACTGTTGTTCTTAGAAGACCAAGCTGTCCATAGGAGGCGCGTACCTGGATAGTGAGCCTGACGTGAAGAGGCAGGCCTCCCATACAGCTCCGGCTCGAGGGCTACTGATAGTGGGACAGCGGCCACAGGAGCACGGCGAGGTATGAGTGCCAGTGATCAGTCCAGTAGTCGGTGTTTCAGCAATAGCCGGCAGGCAGGTGAAGCAGCAGGTCAGACCGATGGCATGGACCTTGGTTGTCAGTAGGCTGGAGGTTTGTGCAAGGAGCAGGATCCGGTTGTGGCCATGATGGATGGATGGATCGCTGGGGAGCAAGATGGAGGATTCCAGGTAAGGCGAGCTGGGTCGGTAGCAGTCGGGCAGATCAGGCATAGACGGCAGGAGGTAGCGTAGTCGGGTCACAGGCCAGGTCAGCAGCGGAAGTTCAGTCAGACAAGAGCAGGAGGCAGAAGAGTAATCCAAGACGAGCTGGGGGTCAGCGCAAGTAGCAGACAAGCAGAGGTCAGGAACAAGCTGGTTCAGTATCAGGAGTCAGGCACATAGATCAGGATACACATACAGGAGCTAAAGACCAAACGGCAAAGAGACAATACTGCAGCCAGTTTAAATAGCCCTTTTGTTGCCAGCATTAGTGATAGGCATGCGCCTGGATGCATGAGTGCGCATGCGTGCTCCTATGTCCAAATACATGCACATCTGTCTGGCCCGTCACTGTTCTGCGCATGCGCATACTTGTGCGCTGCGAATCTTTACCTGCATTATGGGCAAGCCTTTCCTGACAATAAGATTGGTGAGCGGGGGGATGCCCAATCTCTTTCTGTCATCACTCAGGGGTGGCTAACCTGTGGCTCCCCAGCTGTTATGGAACTACATTTCCCATGAGGCATTGCAAAGATGGGAAGTTACTGACTTGCAGAGGCATGATGGAACTTGTAGTCCTGCAGCAGCTGGAGAGCCGCAGGTTGGCCACCCCTGCGGGAGACACTGCATGCAGAAACCTTTACACCTCAGTACCAGAAGATCTTTGCTTTGAGCAGTACCACAGTCTGTTTTATTTAATTGAATTACCAGTATTCACTACTGTTTATGGGCCCCACCATCACTAGCAGAAGACAACAGACACCACCATGTCAGGAACTTTAAACATCACAGGACTCAAGTTGCATTTATGTCGGAGTATACATTTACATAATTCTCTGCATCCACCATTGCGAAGCCGGTGGCCTAGAGGGAGACAATAAGTCAAGAATTCTTTTCTTTCCCCTCTTACTGCTGGTGTTGCAGTTTAATATTTGAAGCTTGCTACTCCTGATTGTATGAATTGTTATACATTGCTAATTGATTATTCCTATTTTACCAGTGTTCTATTTTTATGTGTTACCTGGGGTTGCATATCCTAAACCCATTATTTTTGTGGTCTACACTTTTGACCAAGTTTAATATAGAGGTGTTTCTAAAGAATTGTGCCTCTTGCATTATTATTCTATACTGTTGAAATATGTCTGAACCTAGAATGTCAGAGGTGTCGGGTGGCTTGCAAGGTCAGGGAAACCACTGGGGGCAAGCACTATCAAGCTCCTGTGGGGGGTAGCGCTACATACTGTGCGTATATATATATATATATATATATATATATATATATATATATTTATATCTAATTTGTAAATGGACACACACACACATAT